CTTCTCTTCCTCCTTCTCCTCCTCCTCCTTTTTCCATGCTGAACTGGCAAGGATCCAGGGTGCCAGGCAGGCCCCTGACTTGGGGTGTCAGTTCCCAAAGTAACCCACCCACACAACTTTCCCATTTACTATCTCTTACTTCCTGGCATCTGCTCTAGAAGAGTGCTTGGTACACAGTACATAATACCTAGTAAGGCACCTGTCAGACCTATTTCACAGGTAAGGAAAGCAGGATGGAGAGGTAAGTGATGCCCTGGCCTCGCAGCTGCTAACCACAGGGCTGAGCTCTGCAGCTGTGGGCTACCCTCCTTCCCCTTGCCTCTGCTTGGGCTGCTCAGGCATCCAGGGCTCTGGGAAGAGGTGGAGGGGAGCTAGGCAAGGCAGGAGCCTGTGATCTTGGTGCCCAGAATAGCGGTCTTCTGAGAGCTCTCTTCACAGATGACAGAGGTCGAGAATCATAGACTCTAGAGGTGAAAGGTTCGCTAGACACTTAGGGGCCATCCCCCGGGTCCCCTCCAGCATGCACAGGCCCCAGGGAGCTCATCAAGTCCTTCTCTTGCCTATGCTCTCCTGGGTGAGCAGGAGCTATAACCGACTCCCCTACCTCCACTCAGAGCAGCCTGAGACCCCCACCCCCAGAGTCCAAGGATGAAACTGAAGTTGTTCCTTCCTGTGCCCTGACCTCTTCACACCATGGCCCCAGCACTCTGCCTCACCCATGGCTGTCCCTCCAGCTGCCTTTCCCACTCATAGTACTTTTCTGTGCCCCAGACAGGTCCTTGCCTCCCACTCCTGGGCCCACTCCTGGCCCCCTGCCCACCTGACCTTTGTCCTCTGCGAGTCAGGCTGGGCTTCTGGGCCTCCCTCTCTTCTCATCCAGCCTCTATTTTAGGATCTGGCTGCCTGAATGGGGACAGTTGCATCCCTGAGTGCTGAGAGATCTGAGGAACTTGTCTGCCTAGGCAACCCTGGCCGCCCGGAGTGGCTCCACAAATGGGCTTAATGGGCAGGGTGGAGACACTCTGCTTTGTGGTTTCCAGCAGCCTGCAGCTGTGGCCTCAGCCCTCCTCAGGGGCAGCCCCAGGCTCCTTGGTTCTCATTCTGCCTGGATCCAGCTCAGGGGAAAAAGCTGCTCCCTTGGCAGAAGGCCTGAGAGAGACAGGTCCAGGCACAGGCCATATTGCTTGTGGGACAAGTGCTTTCTGCTGTAACCAGAAGACACATCCACACTGACCTCAGGGATTGGGTGGCCTCAGCAGTTCCCAGTCAGTGGGTGCTGTGTTTATGCTCTCATGGGCCATGTAGTAGATTTCTAACTGGTGATCAGCTTATTACATCCAGCTGAATTAAGCTGGCATGGTGCTGGGTGCAGGAGGTCCACCTGAGGGTTGTTGCCAGCAGCATAAAAGTAGAACAGGAGAAGCTGCCAAAGCACTGTTAGGGATGCTGCTTGGAGAAGCTGTTGGAGCTGTTGGAAGCTGCCAGCTCTCTTGGGCTGCTCTGCTGGGGGACCTTTCCTGATGAACTTTAGAGGCTCTTTGGTCCGCATCTTGAGCATTGCTTCCTGGCTCTGGAGGGAAAGATGATGCACTGCTCAGCCTCATGGAGAAGCTCGTCGCACATGCTTTCCTGATGAGAACTCAGCTTTCCTCATCTCTGGAGGAGCTCAGGACCTCACTGTTGCTGAGGATGGCTGTGGTACTTTTGGGGGAGCTCTGGTGCATACCTTGAGTATTGCTTCCTAGCTCCAGTTCAGATCCTTTGGCTTCCAGCGCAGATCTTTGGGCCTTTCCAACACAGATCCGTGAAGTGAACCTGCATGAGACTTTGTTGTGGGCTCTAAGCCTCCAGTTGGACTTGTGGGAGGCACTGTTATGAGCTCTAGGTTTTCAGCTGGACTCATGCAAGATATTAGGATCTAGGCTGTCAGCTAGACTCTTTAGTGTTTATGTGTGTGGGCAGATTTCTTGCACTTCTTATATATGATTCTTGGGTGATTCATTATAAAATACTATCATAAAATGTGTCCCGTATTGTTCCTCTTGCAAGAACCCCAATCCATGACAGACCACACCTTCTTCACCCGGCACACCCCAATGTGGGTCAGCTACTCCCAGTAGGAGTGTCTGAGGCGAAGGACCTTCCTGTTCTCCAGGGACACTTCCCTGAGATGCCCGAGCACACCCTGCTCCCCAGCAGTCAGGCCGTACTGGGTCACATGCTGGCCCCTAGTCAGTGCCTGGCCTAGCAAGGGGGGGGGGCCTTGTGACCAGTGCAGGGAACAGACCCTGCTGAGTGAGGCCTGGAGGGGTCACATGACGCACAAAGCCAGAAGCTGGTGACCAAGAAGCAGAAAGTGACCTCTGTGGGCAGCCAAACCATCCAGCTGCTCAGAGAAAAGGGATTGTGAGAAGCAAACAAAGCCCCAGGCACTTCCCCCAGCCCTGAAGCTCCCTCTCCTCACTTCAGTGTGCCCAGAACCCCAGAGCAGCATTAGGGAGGGATGTGGAGTGTCAGGACAAGTTACAGCTGGCTGTGAGGGCTAGAATCCGCAAACAGTCTGCTGGTAGGCCAACTCCCACTAATAAATAGTACAGGAACCTAAGAATCCATACAAAGTGTTTGTTAAACCAAGGCAAGACAGGATAAAGTAGAAAGAGACAAGGAAAATCAAAATTTAAAATTGTGCTTTTATAGGAAATTAAGGTTTGGGACAAAGACACAATGAAAACTTCCTTAGGACCTTAAAGGCACAGCATGCCTGGGCCACTCGCTTTCCCTCTGATGGGCCTTTTGCCCTGTGACAGACTGCTCCATCCTCCTGAGATCTAGGCCCTTCCCTGGGGCTGGGCTATGCTTCACCACTGTGGTGGCCATGGCCTGGCCCTGAGGAAGGGCCACCACCTTGCACCTGCGGTGGAATCCTCTCCATGGAGCTGCAGCTCCTTAGATCTCCCCCAGGGCCCAGGAACACCCCAACAGGAAGCCAAAAGCACACTTCTCTGAAGCTGCATCGTGTTTCTGAGTGCACACTTTGAAATTCTGCCCAACGTACCTTTCTATGTCTCCCTCTGATGAGTCCCGAAATTCCTTTTCTGTGATGGAAGTCAGTGCACCTGCCCCCTGGCCCAGGGGTGAGTCAAGCTTCGCTTTGGCCTTCTTAGGGAACTCCTGGGGCCCCAAGGTCCATACTATAGACCTCAGCAGAAGAGAACCATACTGTGTGTGTATGTTTGTGTGGTGTGGTATGTGTGTTTGTGTGGTGTGTGCTGTCTGGTGTGTACGTGATATGTGTGTGGTGTGTGATTTGTGCAATGTGTGGTATGTGTGGGGTGTGTAGTTCATGTGTGTGGTGTAATGTATATATCTGTATAGTGTGTGCTGTATGGTGTATATGTGATAGGTGTGTGGTATATGGTATACGTTTTGTGTGATATGTGTGTTGTATGTATATAGTGTATACAGTATATGATGTGTGTGTGGTGTGTATGTTATGTGTTTTGTGTATGTAATATGTATACATATATAGTGTGTGTGTGTGTGTGTGTGTGTGTCTGTGTGTGGTGCTGAGGATCTGACCTAGGGCCTCACACATGCAAAGCATGTAAGGGTATGTTTCTCACATTGACTCTGAAGACCAGCGAGCACAGAGTATGTTGAACTTGCTCACGGGGGAAAAGCGCACCAAGAGGTGGGAGCCATGGAACCCACCAAACCCATCACACTACTACAACTGCCATGGAAAACACTTCCTCACAGAGCATGCCCAATCCAGGAAGAGCTGGATGGCGCCGGCCTCCCTTACCATCAGGGCAGTGGGCCTGCCTTACCGACCTGCTGCTTGCCTCGCTGGGCCCTCACACACAGAGGAGAACAGGTTCTGCCGAAGCACCTGGCAAGAAAACTAAGGGTGGCTGCCATTCTGTCCATGCATCTGTTAGCCAGGTGGGAACCAGTGATTTAGAGGGGCCCAGCACAGCCCTGTGCATGCTCACATAGCGACTCCTCACCCAGCAGCACCTGCATTCATTTCTGGTTACCACGGCTCACGATGCCTTTGGTTCCCAAGGTCACCCCATCAATTATTGACATAGCAGCTCCGCTCAGGAGAAATGGCAGGGGTTTTCCCTCCCATGTCACATGTCACTGGTATCCATGGTGGACTGAGGATGGTCCTTGTGTACACTGGGCAGAGCCCCTGCCTGCTTAGAGTCTGGATCCACCAGGTCAGAACAGATTCAGTGCTCACACTCCAGCAGAAGCTGTTTCTGTGGGTGACTTACAGACTCATTCTTTCCCACCTTCACACAACTAGGTGGGCACTGATGGCCCCTCTGAGCCCCTGTCCAGCAGGTGTGTCACCCAGATGTGAATTTCTCAGTAGCATTGCCTCCTAAGGAGGATCCCAGCTCCCCTCTCTGTAGCTTCTTTCTCCCAGCCAGCAATGGTTAATCGCCAGCTTCAGGCTCCTGCAGCCCAGCCCTAATCAGCCTGATCAGCCGGCTGCTGGGCCAGCGGCTCCGGCTCCGGGCCAGGCTGGAGCGTTCTTCTGAGGTAATGATTAAGCTGTGCACCTGACCAGCCTAGTGGCACTCACACCTCCTGGCCTGCAGTGGCCAGGACTGGCTGGGGTAGGCAGGGCTCCACTCAGGGACCTGTGGAAGCTGTAGCTCCTGTCTGCCGGCACACACAGTCATCGCAAGCATCCCTGGGTCAGAGCCTTTGCTGCCTGCCCACTGGACTTGTCTGCTTCCCCACCATGAAGCTGTGGGTATTCTGGACTGGGTTGGAATATACCTGCCGGATCCTGGGCATCGCCACTGCAGCAGGTAAGGCCCCACCTGGACAGGCTGACCTCACCAGCTCCCTGTCCTCCAGCTCCCTCCCCAGCCCCTTGGGAAGTTCTGCTTGGTGAAGAGCAGACAGGGTCTGTGCTGCACCTCACCACAGCCTATCTCTGAGCAGCCCCACAGAACCTCAGAGACCCTCAGCATCCTCATCCTGAGAGGGCCAGCCAGCTCTGGCCCCCACCTCCTGGAGGGTGAGAGGTCAAGGTGAGGGTCTCTGGTGAAGGTGCAAAAGGCAAACAGGAGCATCATGCCTACTGTGTAGGAGTGAAAATGGCTGAGTAAACTGCTTATTTTATGGAGGAGGCCTATAGGGAGTGAGGATGCCCACTCATTCTAGAATAGTTCCCCCTGGGGGCACAGGCTGGGCATGCCCCAGAGCTAACTGGAACACCTTAGAGGCCCCGTGTCCTGTGGGACTTGACCACAGAAGTACCCAAGGGCTTTTGGAATGAAGAGGCCCGGGGCTGGTCCTTTCCACTCCTGGCCGGGCTGCAGACAGTTTGCCCAGAATTGCCTTCTCGCCCAAGGCACAGCCCCCTGTGCTGGTCACCAGCAGCAGAATGCGTGCTGGGGACATGAACCACTGGGGACATGAAGCAGCAAAGCTCCCAGGCACTGCTCTGGCCCACATCACTCAGGTCCAGGAGGAGACAAATGGGCATCAAAGCCTCCTGGAAGAAGTGTATTCAGTGAGGGAAGGTTGCCCGTTTGGATGCCAGCAGCCCCAGTCCAAGCCCTGACCCTGTCCTCTACGGAATGTGTGACCTTGGAGGCACCGCTGCCCCCAGACACACACATGCGCTTTCTTACCACCGGGGTAGACTATAGCCAGTGTTTGGGCACATCAAGGATGCAGAGCTGTGCATAGCTGAGAACTGAGTGTGATGCCCCAGGACAAGCTCAGAGCTGGGGGGACCTGGACTAATCCTAGGGCACCTAGCTCAGGAGTCAGAGCTGACAGGACCATAGAGAGGGGCTCACCCCACCTCCAGTGCAAGATGGAACTGCTGAGTTCCAATAGGAGCAGCGACCTTACCTAAGGTTGTGCTGCAGGTCGGAGGGACAGGTAGCCCAGAACCCTTGCCCTGGACTTTCAGAGCCCTGCCCACATCTTGGGGTAGGAAAGTGGGCTTCCCAGTTACTTCCAGAGCCACCATGTCACCTATGTAGGATGGCCACCAAGGACCCTCAGGCCAGCCCAGTAAAGAATGACAGTTGGGTTAGGGTCCTGCTCTTCCCCTGTCACTACTGTCTACCAGTGACCCAGGCCCTGGATTCCCCTGGTACTTGTTGCCCCTGACAGCTGCCAGGAGCCCCAGACACACCCCCACAGAGGCAGGCCAGGCACCTGCAGGAAGCTGAGTGAGATACAAGCCTCTGTTGTTTGAATTGATTGAGGAAAGACAGGTCAAGAGGCCATTTGTCTCCAGCAGGGTCAGGGTCTGCAGCCCTACCCCCACACCTGCACTGCTCTTCTTAACCACAGCTTTATCTCTGGGCTGAGGCCGCTGGTAATGTGGAGGAGACCTCCCACTTGGTTTCAAGACCAGATCCAGGCTAAAAATAGACCCTCACATGGCCTTCTAATGGCCAGGCTTTCAGAGAACCTTGTGGGCTTGAGTGCTGGGAGCTAGGGCAAGCAGGGGCCATTAATGTAATCGCCATCTTGAGTTCCCTCTCAAATTCTGGACACCTGGCCTGGTTCCAGCATATAGGATTTGCAAATTCCTTCCTCCCTTAAGCCTCTTTCTTTCTGAAATCCTCTGTTGGAAAGTCCAGGCCTCATTGTCCAGCACTGCTGCTAAGGAGGAAGAGACTTTGAACAGAGCCAGCACTTTGCAGAAAGCTGGTGGGGAGGGACTGGAGATGGCCTGAACTCTGTAGGCAGAGGTTGTCCCAGGGGCTAGCTAGGAAGCCATGTGACCCAAGGATCCCAAGTGCCAGCCCTTCCTGGCCTCAGCAGGCAGAATCCTGGCTGCTATCGCATGGCAGGCACCACTCACCGGAATGTCCTTGTCCTCAGCCTCTCAGGATGACACTCCACAGGAATTGTGGCCCAGGCTGAAGTCCAGCCCAGACCCCATGTGCTTCTGGAGAATAGACAGGGCAGTACCAGTTTTAAACCAGGGCAAGCAGGTATGGGGCAGATTGTGCCCAGCCCAAGTCATAAAGTCAGGAAATTCTGTGGCTTGGTGCAGTCACCAGGCTTATAGGTCATCACAGACCCTGCCTACCTGTGCCCACACTGGGCTCTGTGGTGTCCCTGTCTCACCTTGTCAGGCAGTGAGTATATGTCTATTGTGTGACCTTTGGGTGCTCCTGTCATTGAGAGGTGGCCCAGCACCACCTAGAACCCACCACCCTGAGAAGTGGCACATGGAATGCACTCCCCCTGCAGGTGCCACCTGCCTGTCACTTGCACAGTGCCCTCCCAAGTACACCTGACACCAGGCACAGACACCAAGACGGGACAAGCCCTGCCTGGGCGGTTCTGCCCGGGGCTGGTCTGGCTGCACACTGTCAGCTGAGGGACCTGGGACACAGGTTTAACTGCTGAACTTCGTGACCCAGACCCTCCTCCTTTGTCACATGGGCAAAACTCATCTAGCAGCACCACCCTGGTGCTTAGGCTTCTCCCTGGCACACTCAGATTTTTTCCCCCCTTAAGTACTACAAGGTTCACTGAGCTATATCCCCAACCTTTTGATTTTTCTTTTTTATGTTGACCAGAGTCTGACTGAGCTCCTAAATTGCCCAAGCTGAGCTTGAACTTGAAATCCTCCTGTTTCAGTCTCATAGCATGCTGGAATTGCAGGCCTGTGCCAACACACCCACCTCCAGGTGCTTTGCTTAATTTTTCCCACTTTGCTCTGGGCAGTGGCATCTGATAACAGCAGTGTGGCCCTGTGTCTTTGCTGGGGGCCGTACTCTATACTGTGACTTTAAATGCTGCTCAGGAAGCAGCATCCTGTGGATGCTCATTCCTATGATCAGGGGGAAACTGAGACTAGGAAGGTGGCACACAAGACCCAAGGTGTCTTGACAGGAAGCAGAGAGGCAAGAGTCTTGCCCATCTCTAGAAGGGTCGACACAGACAGCTTCAGAGTCATTGTCCTGTCACAGATACCTGCCATGCAGCACTCAAGCACTTTTTGCATGTGGGGACACTGAGGCTCATGATGACTGTCAGTTTGACAGCAGTTCCATGGCCAGATGCAGGTCAGATGCTGGTACTCCAGGCTGACCCACCCCAGGGCAGCACATGGTGGCTCTACAGCACAACGGAGGTGGGGAGGACCAAGTGGGGCAAATGACATTTGCAGCAGCCCCGCCAGTGCGTCCAGGGCTTGGGGTCAGCTGGGACTGCTTGGGGCTGTTTTGTTCCAGGATTTGACCCATTAACCTGACTCTGCATGGGACGAAGGCAGCCACATTCTCCACAACCCCACGTGCAGTGCTTATTAATATAGATGAGGGTGAAAGCAGTGCCCACAGCCCAGTCCACCTTTGCTAAAGGGTGAAGCAAATGCGTGGTCCAACTCTGTCCCTGTTCAAAGCCTTCCAGGAACAGTTACTTCCAAAGCAGCTATCTTGGGTCCTACAGGCTAATTACACACACACACACACACACACACACACACACGCACACACGCATGCACACGCGCATGCATGTGTAGACCCCATGACCACTTCTTAAATGCCAGCTGCCTGCTGGGGATCGATGCCCTGTGGAGACCTAGCGGCCTTTGCTGCATTTCCGGTCTTCATTGTGACTCTGGCTGTTTGTCTTTCCTGATCTGATCAGCTGAACAAGTAAACAGAATCTCCCTCCCACTGAGAGCAGCGGGCTGTAGTCCAAGCATTCCTTTCCTTTCCCTTCATGTTCAGACACAAATCTGGAGCTCTGCTTGCAACTCACTGAGTGGGCAAACACTTGCTGGTCTCTGTGTCGTCGATGTTCTGCAGGACCTCAGCTCAAGGGGCTGCACCCAGTGACCAGGAAAGCAGCCTAGGGACTGCACATCCCAGCCACAGAGCTCTATGTGTACTGGTGGGTGCGCAACTCTCTCCTGCACACATTAGGTGTGTGGTCCTGAACATGTCACAGAATTCCATAAGCTTTTATTTCCTGTCTATAGGGCAGGGACAACTATTGGGTCCAACCACACAGTGGGTGAACTGCCAAAGGCCCACACGGTCCCCACCCTGTGCAGGTCAATCCCAGAGGCACAGAATAAACAAGACCAGAGTGAGGGAGCCATGCGACCCAAGCCAGGAGGCTTGGAAAGGAGGCTGTAAGAGGCCTGACCTCCGGACACCTCCTCTGAGTCTTGAGCCACAGGAACCAGGTATTTATACACCAAGTATAGAGAGCTAGAAGGAAGGGGCTAGTTCTGTCCTACTTTCAATGTGCTGATGACTCCTCCACAACTGTCTCAGTCCTGTTTGGCCCTGCAGAGAGGTATATAAAGGAAATGGGAGGTAGTGGGACGTGTGCCTGTGGTGGCAGGGTGGGCAGGGAAGTGTGGCTCCTGCTAGGTGGGTATGTGCTCAGTCCTCTGCTTGGGAACATTGTTGTGGGGGACAGGAAGCAGACACACCTGTTGTGAACAAAGAGAGAAAACAAGGACCAAGTGCCTAGGCATACCTGACTCCAAGGCCAAAGGACATTTCCTCTGTGGGCTCACAAGGAGGATGCTGGGGAACTGGGGTCACACACTCAGTAGCTTCAAGAAGCTGTGCTGGCCTAAGGAGTCCCTCCATCCAAACACTGCAACCAGAACAAGCTTATGGAGCTGCCTAGACAGCTTCACAGGGGCATCGCAGAACTTGAGGAAGAGAGATCTATGCTATGCAGACTTCCAGAAGTTTGTTTTATGTAATCAGCATTTACATGGATACCAAAACTTTGGACAAAGTTGTAACATGAGGGCTATACATAACTAGGCCTGAGGGTACAGGCCTGACTTCCAAAAGTC